GGCGATGAGCAGCAATATGTCCGATGGACACATAAAAGGGGAGAGACTTCCAGCCGTTTCTGATTTACCTGAGATGCCGAAAGAATTTCAAATTAGCTTCCGCCGCCCTTACTGGCTTCCCTACCATGTAGCCGTCTGCCTGGCAGCCAGCCAATAGGATGGTTTTTATCCATTTTGTATTGTTATCATCATTATCATCAATGTCATTATTTCATTAAGCCTTCAGCCTAGAGGTTTTCTTAGTTGTGTTGTAAACATTAACCTATTGAGTGAAACGGTTTAAGTTAAGGTAAATTGCAAACGTTAAGTACGTTCGGCACAGAACGACGGAAGACCATTGGTGTTCCTGATCATTAGTCGACTTCTAACAAACCGAATGAATACTTTAGAATTCATTTCTAAATTCTCACTGTTAGCACACAGCAAAAACGATCCATTATTGTTCACGTAATATTTATGCCCCGGACACCGCAATGGGCTCTCTGGGTAACAGATATATCGTAGTCTGATGAGGGAGATTAGATTCACACGTGGATAATCCCAGCACAGGGCAGCAAACAACTATCTCAAGGAAAGTACAGATAAAGTGCGATCAGGTTTCCAAGGGCTGGGAGAAGGATGCCTTTCGTTTGGAGTTACCAGTGGCTCGTGAGAGGAGATGACACTTGGGCTCAGCCCTGATGAGCATTTCTGGACACTGAGCATGCACCCCAGCCCCTAACCCTCGTGAAACTATAGATCGAAACGTGTCTCCGCACGTTTCCAATGTCCCCTCGGGGGTCAACGACATCACCCCTTGTCAAGACAGCTATGACATGGAGGGTTAATGGGAGAAGTGGCTGGAAAGCAGAGCAAAGAAGTTTAGTGACAGTAAGATCATCACAACCCAGGAGGGGACGTTTTCGGTGAAGAGGCTGAGGTAGGAGAGTTATGTGGTGAGTTTGCCTCTGAAGAAGGTAGGCTGTGGCATAGGAAACACGAGCGTGGGGTTATCGGGGTCAGGGGTGGGGTCGGTCGCAGAAATCAAGAAAGATTGCAGTCTGAGAGGACCTGGACATGGCAACCGATTGGATTTCTTTTTTATGTGTGCTGATTTACCGTCTTAAATATACGAGTTCTCATTACATTTTGAATTGCCATTTAGAAGGATGTATTCGCCCCACCCCCCAAAGAAGCATGGGAACGTGTGGCACCAACTTGAAACAAACCGGGGCACTTTCAAAGCTTGGGAGACCCCAGGCTAACAGAAGAGTGCCTTCAGGTGTCCCTGCACCCCCAAGTCCTGCCCAAAGGTGTCCCTCAGCACCTGACCACACTCAAAGCCCTGGAGTTTTGCTTGCCTGGAAGACACAGTCCCTATAGTTTTATTGTTTTATACTATATGGATTATGTCACAAAGGTTTTACTAGAAATTCTCTCTTCACCATCCATGGAGAGAGGCTTGGGTACATATCAGTGCTGTTCACTTGGGCACATAATTGTTGAGAAGAAATATTTTTGAGAAGGTGTGAGCACGTCACACATTCCTTAGAAAGCGTCCAAGAATCCCACTTTGCTTATTTTTGCATGGTTTTGGATAGACTTTTCAAAGCACTCCTTTCCTGCTGGAGTTTGCGATGATTCATTTCAAGTTTCAAAATAAATCTTTCCACTCAAGCAATTCAGCAAATCAGATTCCTTCCAACCATCACAACTTCACGCTCACTCCCGCCTGCAGCCCCTACCCTTTGATCTGAAAAGTGAACCTCGTTCAAAACCAGAGATGTCACTTTTCGGGGACCAAAATTCATCCACAGCCGTGGGCCACACTCAGGTGTCCGTCATGTATTCAGTCCGCATATTTGAGCAACCGTCCTTGAGGTGGAATGCGATTGTTGGCTGAAGAATGTAGAATCGGTTTCGATTTTCCAAAAGGACGTATGTGTTTGTTTATATGCCCGTTGCCGGCTGCCCCGTCTCCACCTCCCCAGCAGACAGAGTTCCTGGAGGTCAAAGACCTGCTTGTTTTCTTTCTTTCTTCTCTTTTTATTATCTCTAGATTCCTGGTGCTTATCACCAGATCTGGCCCATCATTCATTCCCAGTAAATGTCTGTCAGATGGATAAATGGATGATCGTACTTCCTGACATTTGAGCATAAAATTGGGATGGGAAGTTGTAAACTGTGCCTCAGCGGGCGCTAACAGAGACCCAGCTCTGTGTCACAATGCTTGCTCGATTCCGAGTCACCGCCCCTGTCCCAGGGGGAGGCGGCCGTTCCTCTAACAAGACTTCTTGGCTCATCAGATATTTGCGACTGTTGTTTTGAGTGTTCGACGCATTCAGGTTATGCTGATTAGTTAACAGTTAAAAATGACCTTCCGTTTATTTTCTTTGCTTGGAGTGTGTCTGGGGAGTCGTGACTCACTGACTGACGCTCAGGTTCGGACTTGACTGAAAGTGAAGTCATCGTTCCTCGGAACCGAAGCCCTCGGGCCTCCTCCGACCGCTCCCCGTTCTCCCCGCAGATCTTCACCGCGTTGCCGCCCTTCACTCTGGGGATCTTCGAGCGGTCTTGCACTCAGGAGAGCATGCTCCGCTTCCCGCAGCTCTACAAAATCACCCAGAACGCCGAAGGCTTCAACACGAAGGTAAACGCACGGTCGTCACCCTGCCGTCACCGCACGCCGGGCGGAAGCACTGCCCTCTGCCCACGAGGCAGCCGAAGCGCGAGAGAGAATGTCCGCAAGAGGCGACACCAGGGTCCCCTCCCAGTATTCGAGAGGCCAGATCAGCAGGGAAGCCGCCATGCCGCACGTGGTGCTCCCTTCGCTCCCTGTTTGCCGACTCCTGTCTCCTCCCCACGTGTGTCCCCGACGTTGGCGTGGCCGGCAGCACGATGGCCACGGTTCCCGTAGGGCCAGCCATCAGGGCCTCCCTTTTCGTAGCGTCCCGTGCGGTGACGAGCTTGCCCACCAGAGCCCTCTCGCCACCTCTGCTTGCTTTTTTTTTTTTTTCATTTAAAAAACATTTTTTTCTTTAGCTAAAGACTAAAATTGGCCAGATGTAAACACAGAAATCAAGTTAGTCATGGGTTTGTTTGTTTTTTTTCCAGTCCGGAGAATCAGAAAAGAGAAAGCATCTAGACCAAAAAAAAAAAATGATCCTGAGAAAGGTCCAAAGTTAGGTGTCACAGGAACTCCGCCGCCTTGGTGGCAAAGGGGCTCTCACCCAGCCTGCCAGCCACAGCCAGGAGTGGCGGGGAGGCTGCAGGACACCGGCCAGAGAGAAGACAGGTGCCTGGCCGGGCCGAAGAGGCAAAGACGCGAACTCGCCTTCACTGCGTGTTTCTGTCAGCTTTTGTTGTCAGGGGTCGGCGGGGAGATTAGGAGGCTGAAGCAGGTCCCTGCCCGGGTTTCTTGCAATACCGATGCTGGCTGTGCACGCAGTTTGCTCTGGTAGCCCCTGGGGCCTTGGCAAGGTGACATAGGAAGTCCTCAGCGACAGAGCGGTCTCCGAAGGCTTCCGTCTGA